ATTTAAACCATTGTGTACCAATTTTGTGATTTGACAGTATACTATACCGTTATTTGAGAATTTAATATTATACTTCAAATATTTCCTATATAAAATAGTTGTAGGGTATCAGAAACTGGAGATTTGTAAGGTGTTGAATGAGTGCTAGGAAAATTATTTTAATAGTTGCACTCTTGCACAGTCAATTTGGTTACCCAGACAAATTTGTATAAGGCAAACAATATTAACACAAGAGTTTAAATTGCCTGAGTGTAAAAAAGATGATAGCTAAGCTTTTGGTCCATTAAATTGGTTTGTTGTTGTGTTTTGAAATAAAATTTTACTGTAGATATGTTGATATCATTAAATTTTTACTTAAATATTTTTGTTCTTGCCAAGCCTGTAACTCACATGTTGTCGCTGGTAATATAGAAGCAAATTATTTTATAAATATAAATGCTCTTATACAATGCAGTACTGTTATCCATAGAATAAAGTCAGTCAGCATTATAGTCAGATGAGTTTTTAGGACAGACCAATCTTTTGTAAGTGTAATTTATGGCGATCAGCAGATTCCTATACTGCAGGAGAACTCTTTCTGGGGAATTTTAAAACAATATCTTGATTAATTAAACCAGTCATTAATAAATTAGTTATTAAATAGAAAGCAGTAATACATTTCCTGATTATAGGAACATTATTTAAGTGTAAAGAAGCATGAACAGATTTCCTGTTATCTCACACACGCCCCCTGGAAACTGCATTTCTTTCTGTCACTACCAGAATTTTAATCTCATTATTGAGTGAGTCACTTTATTTTCAGGACTTCTCTTGTAAATCAGCTCGACAGTATTGTTAGCAGTGAAATTTGCCCCTAGGATGAGCACTATCTATTTCAGTGTTTCAGAAAAAGCTATGGCTGCCAGTCAATTAAATTAACCACACATGAAAATAAATAATATTTGCATATGAATAAAACAAAGTCTCTGAAAAGTTAGTGTGCAGCATCTCTAGCAGGATATGTTCCTGGTAAGATTATGCCTTCTACATGTAGCAAGATGGGCAACATTTTCATTATTGGGAGCTGTACTTTTTTTTAAAAAAAGTTGTAGGATCTTGTGGCTGGCAGTTTCCTGTCCCTGGGCTGGGTAGGGCCAGAGTTTCAGCCTTTTTCTGTATTTTGATTATTCCCAAATAAGAAAATAATCAGTGGTTGGGGAACAGCTTCAATAATTTTTAAGAGATAACTTGGAAGTCTTCAAAATATCACAGTACATCTTGAGTGCTCTGAAGGGACAAGCTGGCAACAAGAGCTAGGAATTACAGATATCTGTATAAAAAAGAAATAAGTGTTGGAGGTTAACTCCAAGGAACTCTTTGGAGCTCAGTATTATGTTACTCATTCCTTTAAATTAAATTACTTTAAATGTTCCTTTCTTTAAATTTGTATTCTTTCTTTGGTTAAACAGTAGCCTTGAAGGGTCCAAAATTCAATTTATAGTATTATGAGGGATAAAATTCCCTTTCTTGAAGTGACCCCTTGACATTTAATTGGGCTATATTATGGCAGCTTCTTTTGCCAGGTTGGTGTATCTTTAAACCCTTTTTGCCCTTTTTAAACATTTTGTTTCCTGCCCAACTGTTTTCCTGTATTATTTCACCGAGTTCCATCTTCAATACAGGTTATTACATTATTATTTTTTTGCAATATAGTGGCAGGAATGGAACTCCTGTGAATATACAAGAATCTGGACCTTCATTTACCTTTTTGTACTCTATCTAGTCCTTGGTTAGTGACCATTCATTCAGCAACTATTCAAAGTTACGATTGTACTGAACAAGGAGACTTTTCAAAGTTGCAGCTGTTGCAGCATCCCTGCAATCATGTGATTCCAATTTTGGGCACTTTATAACTGGTGCATATTTTTGATAGTTCTGAAATCACATGATCATCATTTGCAACCTTCACTGCCAGCTTCTGACAAGCGGAGTCAGTGAGGAAGCAGACAAGAAGTTGCAAGTTGCAGTCCCATAATATGATTAATGATTGCAACTGGAGTTGCTGTAATTGCCAGCATAAGTTGATGTAGTCACATGATCTTTTGTTTTATAACCCTGGTGCTTTGCAATTTCCTTTCCAGTTTCAATCACATTAACTAAGACTATTTGTATAAGATATTCCTTTTAGTTCCTAAAATAAATAAAAGTATATTCCTACTATGGTAAGCTGATCAGTAAAAGAAAAATAGAAATGTGTGCAGCAGCATTAGTTTTAAATTAAATTTAAAATTGGTAAGTATAGCAATAATACTAAAAAGAGAAAACAAATTGGGAGGAAAACAGAAGAAAAAGTCTGGAAATTATGTGATAGAAGAACAACAATGAAAGTAATAAAGAATTCAGAAAAAAAATGATAATGAACACTTAACCGAAACCAGTATATTTTACCCACATTCTTCATCTTGAGAAGACTTTGACTTGTGATGGAATGTTTGACTAAATTTTTGGTCATCTTAATGTTCTCCACCCCTTGCCAGGAAAAAGTTCTGGTGAATTTGGAAGACAACTAAATTGTTTTTGTCCATTTTCATTTCTCATAATAAAAGCATTCCTCACTTATGGAGACTGCTTTACTACAGTCTTCCACAGTACTGTTGTTATCTAACTGTTTTGGGGGGAAGAATATTACTGACAAAAATGTCCAGTCCATTATGGTACATTGTCTACAAACAGTAGAAGTACCAGAAGATGATTGCTTTAGGGAAAATATATATCTGCAATAGTGCACCCAATAAGAGTCATTTTGATTTTTAGAGCATTAGAAAATATGAAATATAGAAATCAGGAAAATGGTTTTTAAGAAACATTTAATGTCCTTTCCCAAAAGCATGAAAAGTAGTAGAAATTAGTATCATTTGAAATATTCTTTAAAAATCCAAATTTAATATATCAAAATGGGCAAAACTTCTGAGACAATGTACAGTATTACAGTTGTTTACAGTGAAAAATGAAGTAATCTGATCGATATTTCTGCTTCAAATCAAAGCAATGTTGTTACTTAAGTGAATTTGCTACTGAACTCACAACAGTTAATATTCCACTATTATAAAATCGGTATTTTATTCAAATCCAAATGTATTTAAACAAAAATCTAGGGGAAAAAATAAAATATAATTGGGAGATTCCTCAGTTTATAAATTTGTTTCTATCTCACATAAGCAAAAATACAGTCTATGATTTTGGTTTAGTTTTGTTGAGCAGTTATTCTTGTCAATGCTATTCCACCAAATTAAACCCATTTTTCCCTTGTGTGAAACTGGAACAAAACACATGAAAAATAATTCCTAATGAAAAAAGGGGTGGGGGAGTGGAAGAGTCCTTAACACTCGTGGAAAGATTTGGCAGTGAAACTACTGCACAAATCAAGAAAAGCAGCCATGTGGCCTTTTGTTAAGATCATGGAGGTAGGCCGAATGGAGAGGGGTTTTTTTAATCACGCCTGCTCAAACAGCCACTTTGTGCTAATGTGTTTTCTTATGGATTTGCCAGGTGACCTCTGATTCGCAGGCACCCAGCCAAATCCACCACAGTAACTGTTCCTTAAACAAGCATAGCAAGTGAAGTCAGTTTTTGCTACTAATTTCCAGATGGAACACTGATTTTTTTTTTTGGGGGGGGGGGGCAGCTTGTGGTGAATATATCCTAAATTTAAACAAACAAAGTATCTCAGTGCAAGACTAAAGGTCTGTTCACAGAACACCAGAACTATAATGATTGCTTTTGATGAGGTTTTGCAAGGTACTTTTTGTCTCTGTGTGTGCGTCACTCTTTATACTATGGAGTAGTAATTAGCTGTATAATGTAGGATAGTTCTGTAAGTAAGGATGTTAGGGTCTGAAGTTAATCCAGTTCATGATATACAATTAGTCCTGAGATTTACATGCAAAGGAGTAATCGTCTGGGCTTTTTCCTGATTTTTCTCCCAAAGTGAGGGAACACAGCCAAAGCTGTTCCAACAACATTGCATTCATTCATTGCCAGTAAATATATGTAGATATGAAGAACCCATTCTAGGACTGAACTGCAATGAAGTGATAGGGACGACAGATCTGTAGCTTTACACAAAAGAGAAGCTAGTAAGAAGTGAAAAAAATAAGAGGCATATTTCATGTAGCACCATGTTTTGTGGCTTTTTGTCATTGAATAATCAGGAAATTGATTGTCCTACCAATAATAATTTGTCATCGTTTGCATTTTTTAAGTAGATTGGGTTGATTAAAAGTAGTCACAGAAGCTAAGTTCAATATTACAGTGGTAATGTCCTAATACAATAACTCATCATTCAGTGGTTTTGCATTCATCTCTATTGCTCATTTCTTCTAAATAAGATTTGACGACAACATGATCAAATGCTCTGTCTACTGTCTAGCCCAGAGGTCTCCAAACTTAAGACTTGTGGACTTCAAGCTATGTTGGCTGGAGAATTCTGGGAAATGAAGTTCACAAGTCTTGAAGTTGCAAAGTTTGGAGACCCCTGGTCTAGTCTCTAGTGCCTCTTAGCTTAGCTTACCTTTTGAGTCTGAGATATCAGGAACCCACTATCTAAGAGGATGTCACCTAACTACAACCTCTAGTGAAAAAGGACAGTGCCCTGACCAAAAGATATGGTACAGTATAAAAAGGGGTTTTATTTCTAGTTGAGCCATGCTCTGAATCACACATAGTTCAATATTCAGAGTGTCTTGGATTTCTGGTCTTGGTTTTAGTTCCGAGTCCTAATTTATTCTTGGGCAGTGCCTCCTGGCTTGCCACTGACTATAACTAACTTCCAGCACTGTGAAATCAGTAGTAAGACGTAGCCCAGGTACTTATTCCCACTGTCATCTCAACTAAGCTTCCTGGTGAAGAATTATCTTTCAGATTCAGGTGTCATTGTATTTAATACATAATACGAATTTAGTACTAAGGAATAGTTGCTGCAAAGTCACTTGTCTTTCTTTTTTTCATTTTTCTATTTAAAGACAGAAAGGGAACTGAAGGTGGTTGGAAGAGCAACATAAAAGCAAAGGAGCAGTGGGTGGAAGCAAAACTCATTCAAGGTGAGCTGAACAAAATTAGCTACATTTTATTAACACCTTCAAGACTTTTCTTTGGAATAAGAAGCCAAATGGAATAGGTACAAATTATTATAATGAACACAAGAAATTATCTTAGAAATAAAAAGAGTGCTCTGGTCTCAGAATGCAGAATGGTCTTAAACATTTTTTTAAATAATTGAAAGGGTTTCTGCTGAGGTCTGTTTACTTACCATATTATAGTGGTTACTTTTTCAGGTAATTGAAATATTACAGTATGTTCTAATATTTCATTGATTTAAGTAATAGAGTGCATAAAGTTTTCTTGATTTTTATTTGGATGATAAAATGCATGTGCTGGATCAATCTCCAGAGTCCCCATAGGATATCATTTTAGTAGATCAGAAAGGATAAATACGAGGGAGTTATCATTTTATTTAATACATTAAACCATAATTAAATCTAAGTTTAAATCAAATGTAGCTTTTGTTCTTTCCCTTTAACCCACTTTTTAAAGTACAGCTGCTGCACATAGTTCATAGGTTCAGTAGGGTGTTCAAATGTACTGAGTTTATGATTCATAAATTCATTACTATTAATTTCAGTTACTACTATTCTATTCATACATCCAAAAGTTATTTCCAAAAAACAGCATCTAGTATATGATTTGTATATTTATTCCTTTTGAGTGAATTTCAACATTTGCAGATAAGCAGTCTAGATAGCAACAAAGAAGCTATATTGCATTAATTAATATCTGTGATGGATAATTGTTATCTATATTAAGTTTCTATATGCAGTATAAAATCTTGGTTATCATTCCAGTTTCTGGAATTGGGTATGGTTTTGTAGCTTAACAAAAAGGAGGACTAGGGGTGACATATGATAGCAGTGTTCCGATATCTCAGCGGTTGCCACAAAGAAGAGTGGGAGGTCAACCTATTCTCCAAAGCACCTGACGGTGGGATAAGAAGCAATGGATAGAAACTAATCAAGGAGAGAAGCAACCTAGAACTAAAGCAAAATTTCCTGACAGAACAATTAATCAGTGGAACAACTTGCCTCCAGAAGTTGTGAATGCTGCAACACTGGAAGTTTTTAAGAAGAGATTGGACAACCAATTGTTTGAAATGATATAGTTTCCTGCCTGAGCAGGGGGTTGGACTGGAAGACTTCCATGGTCCCTACCAACTCTGTTCTTCTCTTCTATTCTGTTCCATTCTATTCTATTCTATTCACTTTGATACACAATATATGTTTTTATACTGTATGAATTTTTTGCTTATTTGGACAACAATTTGCTTTTATCACACACTATTTTGCTTTTAAAGAAAAGAACTATAGTTTTGAAGTAACTATAATTCTCATATTTCTAAGCATAACTCTTCTTGTCAAGCAATGCTTGTTTACGGTTCCAATTGTATGCCTTATACTCGAGTAAATTATTCTTTCAATCTTGTTTTCTTATCTCCTTAGGAAGTACAAATTCCATGCAGCAAATATAACGTAGCATGAAATTAGTAATAATTATGAGATCAAAATATATTTATGAATTCCTTTTCTTTTTCTCTTTTAATGGTCTGTTGGAGAAAAAGAAAGTAGTGTCAAAATGGAATGAATGTGCACTTACACATGTCTAGACTTGCCAGATATTGACAATTTTGGATACTTCCTCTCACTGGACCTACATTAAAAGACTTCTTTTTAAAGTTGGTGCCCCTAATAATAGAAAGCAGAACAAGCTGGAATTTCATTTCCAGAATCATAAGACTGGAATTCCTTTCTGTATTCTGAGAAATGCGGATGGAACAAGTAATATGAATATACTGTATATTGAGAAGAGAGTCAGTTGCAAGGCATAGCAAGATCAGCGATTAAATAGCCTCAAACCAGTGAAACAAAAATGACAAATAACCCCTCCTATTCCAGTATTGCCACTGCTTTCTTTTTCTTTCCAGAGCTTATTAGCAGGCAAGAAATAAAATGGGGATATTCCTTGATTGTTGAGAGTCTTGTCCTGGTGCCTACAAAATCTTGATTAGCATTAAAAGTAATTTAAATTATAAATTTTCAGTTACTCAAAGAACTGTTAGACCTACCAGCTAATAAACAGCATATATTTAATAGATTCAACAGCTCAGACAAGTGCAAATATGATTTGAGCATATCTGAACAAGCTATCTTCATTTGAGCATATCTAAACAAGCTACTTGATTTTTTAGAATTACATGCAGCTCTAGTTTGCCTTTTGCTTCTTTTGTGCCATCATAGTAATATTATAAAGCATCACTTTGAAGGGGCTTTGGAGTCAAGATCTACATTTGGCCTTTGAATGGCAGGTCACAGTTACTCTCCCCAAAGTGGGTGAACCTACATTTCATTTTAAATTAAAGTTAAGTTAAAATGCATTTCATTTTTTTTCATATACTAATAGAATTACTATCCACGTGTTAATAACTTCTCCCTTATCTAATTAATTTTAAAAAAATCATAAAATTGATAGTGTGACTCAATTTTAACAATCACTTTGCTTAGTTCTGGCTCCCATTGTGGTTGTACATTGAGGGCTACTTATATTGTGGGGGGAAGAAAATTATTGAAAGTTTTCTTGTCACCTATAACATAAAGAAATACATCCCCATTGCTATTTCCACTGAACTACTTATTCCTTTGGATGACATTCTAAAAATGCCAATAGTGAGTGGAATAAGGAATTTTCACTCAGCTGTACTTGGGTCTATTTATTCTATGTGTTAGGAATGGTAGTCACCTAATAGTTGGGTTGGCAATATGTAAACGAGGATAGTCATTTAATACTGTTGTATCTTTAAGAGAATGTTGTAATTGTGATTGGCTGAGGTTCCTCCAACAGCCATAAGATGTAGCCAGAAACTTGGTTTGTTCTTTTTTACATTTCCTTTTGCCTGATCGTCATTCTGCTTGAATTGCTGTGAGTCTTGCAACTATTCGCAAACTCCGTTTACTGAACTTTGTTTATGATACTGGTAAAGAAAAGGACTTTGTTTTTGGATTATCCCTGGACTGATTATTTTGAATACTAACTGCTTTAACCGCGTATGATTTGGACTGTTTGTTAGACTTTGTTTACACGTTTACAGGAAGTAAAACTTACATTTTACTATTCAGTGTATCTGTGTGCTGGTTGTGTATTATTCATCATCACTCTCACTATGTTTCCCTGAGTGCGCTCATTCTCCTAACAGGGAATACCTCAACACTATGTATGATGCCATCTCTTATGTGGACCCATTTCACTCAGGCTTTAAACCAGAAAATAGGATTAACACTGTTCAGTCAGCTGGTGAATGACTCAAACTGGAAATTGGGCAAAGATTTTGTTGTCCTATTGATTCTCTTGTACATTTTTGCAGCGCTCAATGCTATCCATTTGTGAGATAACATAAGCAGAGCAATAAATATATCTTCAGAAAATCAAGCCCATATTCAATCTAGCAGACGTTTTGTCATTTTGATAAATTGCTTTATTGTAGACAAAAAAAATAGCCATACTCATGCAGGCAGTCTACATATTGCAGAACGTAGAATTATATGCATGAATTATGAATGAATGACAGAGCCAGTGATTAAATCCTAAGCATTTTCCTCTTACCTTGTTGCATCAACTGTCTCTTACTTATTTTTTTCCCAGCCTTGAGTTTAGCAGGCAGCTGGCCTGAACAGTGTTGGTTCCTTTGTCACCACTGTCAACTCTTACACTGTCTTCCCTCCCTATTTTCTTTTTCCTGTTTAAAGGTGCCAGATGGCTCTTCCCCCCACCCCCAGTTTGTGGGAGACTGAAGGGCATTGTGGCTCCCTGTCTGTTGCCATATCTTTGCCAACTGGAGCTGACAAAGTCTCCTTCCCCTTCAAAGTCTGTACTCCTTCAGTCTGCCTAAGGATCTTAATAGTACATATAAATTATATTTCTTCTTCGGCTGCAATAAGAGAGAAACTCATATTTTGTCCCAATCTCCACTTCCAGTTGACTCCTCATATCAGAGCCTAGTTTCCATCTTATCTATTTTCTTCATCAGGAGTCTCACTGATGCTTCCTTTTCAATGGAATAATCTTCATCTCTTATTAGTTGTACAGATGTCTCCTTTTCCATCCCCAGTTTACTCTCTTAGAGTCAAAACCAATTAGGTCATTTTGGTTGTGAAGTTGTGTCAGACAAAGTACAGTACATGAATGTTGTCGGCCATATCCCATGGCATTTCTATGTCTGGGTAACTCTGCCAATGAATCGTGTCTTCTAGGTGTGGTCTTATTGCAGTGAAACTCTAAACTAGATTCCATGCCGATTTTTCTTCCCGCACCCCATAATAAAAACTGAATGGTGGTTCAAAGACGCACAAGGGAGCACAGAAGCTGCGTGTAGCTTTTCGTGTGGCTGGAAACTGCAGAGTAACGTCGATAGTATTGATCTATGCAAGTATGGCAAATGGTTCAATAAACTTGCATCTAGTTTCTTATTCTGTTGGGTGACAGAGAGAAATCTGATACAAAACCAGATGTGACCTTCAGCAATGGAGGAGGAGAGGAGAATGCTTCCTGCTGCTGACTGTCAATAGAACACTTGCACAAGACTTGGTGTGATCTATGAAAAGGTACTAAGAGGCTCAGCATTCCTGGAAAAAGGGAGAGGCAAAATGGGTATAGATGTACCGTAGGTAGTAGGTAGTAACCATAGGTGGCCTGAAATGGTAACATCTGAGTAGAGGCATTATTGGAGTTATTATAAGCTAACACAGTGATAGATAAAAGATCAAGCCGGTTTACATAGAGTTGGTGAGTTAATCTTAGTGACATTTATCCACCATAAATAACATATAGGCCCATAAGTGATAGGTCAGTTATAAAGTGCAATAGTCCACTTGGTTTCCTAACAAGAAGCTTGTTTTTGCAAAAAGAAATACAGGCCTTGAGGTATTTCAAGGCCACCAAAGGTCTCAAAGAAAGAGAGGTGGATAGTTTTAAATATTCAGAACTATGTAGCTAACCA